CGGTCTTCTTTCCCTAATTCTCTCTATAAATCATGGAAATGCAGTTATAACAACATATCAAACCAATTTTGAGCTCGTAGCATCCACTCTTATACCGCCGATAGTGGGGTATTACCACGCCATTACTTATGATAATGAATGCTCGTGTGCGTTATATGCGACCTGTACTACTCAAGCAAGTTTCATAAATAGTAATTCATCAGAAATCATACCAATTAAAGGCTTCAAAATAGGCTGTATACCAAGTGAATCATTTCTTCTTTCGACTCTCGAGTGTTTTTATGATTCTTTGTGCATCAATCTTATACAAGAGCAAACAAACTATGATAGTAGAATTAATACCACAAAGACTCCTATTTCTCTCGTTCAAAATAATAGTCGATTCTCAACTAATACAACTGTGAGAGATATTGTCAATGCTCTTTTCGTCGAAGATCAATCTGCAACGATCAACTACTTATCGTATTTTGAACAATGTTCACCCTCAATATGTTCATATACTTACACCCAACAGATCAACTCAGTCTACATAATATCATTTTTAGTCAGCATCTATGGTGGACTCACAATTGTCCTCAAATGGATCTGTCCTTGGGTAGTTCGCATTGTGACGAGAGTTGATAAGTATCGAAAAAACAAGAGAAACATTGTTTATTCTGAATATCCTATCAATACAGCAACCACTGAGAATATTAACACAATATCTAACATCACAAATGTTCAACATGACACTATTAATGTTGAACTAGCACCCACGGCTGCAACAACTAAGTATACCCTTTTTTCTTTTAATATCTATCATCATCTTCAACACTGTTCTTTAGAATTCGTTGCCTTTCGTCGCTACTTTATTATCCCAAGATTGTCTTTTGTTTTATGTTGTTCTTGTTTTCTGCAGTGGTTATCATTATTTCTTGTTTTTATTTTATTCGACAAAGAAATAACCAAGCTATATCAACAGGTAAAATCGTTTTCTCAAACAGTGCTTTTGATGATGAAAGTAGCTTAGGAGAGGGCCGGCCATAAAACTCACTTACTCCATATAGGGTGGGTTGCTGGCAAGTTTTTGATTTGTAAATTATAACTATCGCAAACGATAGGCCATCATTTGAGTACACTAATTCTAAAATATTAGCTTTTTCTGTTGTATTTGTAAAATTTCCAAAACATAAAAATAATAGTACTCTCGATCCTTCAGAGGGTATGTGAGGGTGGGTGTGGATGATGCATTCAATATACTCGCAACCACACTCACACTCTCGGCTGAGCACTGTTTTCTGATCGTATATATGTCTAAATGAACTTTTTTTCGAACATTTTTTATTAGTTCCTTCAATGAACACAACAGGTTTTACACATATGAACATAACTACCAAGGCTGACACAAGCACGACAACTAGTACGACAACGACAACATCTACGTCGACAGGTCTGTAGTTTAAAAACTGTATCATTGTTTTCTTTCGAAATCTTTTCTATGAATGGAAGGTAGAATAAGTGAAGTTTTCATGACACTGTCTCAGATGAATTTATTCTCACTGAATCCAAAGGAAACCAGCCACTATATACATGACCATCTCAGAATCGACTAAAACTTTCAGAGTTCATAGAGCTCTCAGTGAGCTGCTCATTTTGGTATCAAATTATCATAGGTTTGTATGTAGTTTAGGTTAAAATCAGTCAAAATATTATTCTGCAAATATAGCATCAAATGTGCTAAAACTGGAAATGCTCATTATTACGAGGGTAGTTGCGAGTGTGGGTAGGCATATGTAAAATTATTGTGCACCCACACTCGCACTCTCTAAAGCAGACCTATTTAATTTGTATATGGTTCGATAGAGCCGAACACGTGCTATCAGAATATATATACATTATTGTTTTTTGATTTTAAAATCAGGGAGAAAATGTTCTTGTAATAATCAGCATTTTTCTGTTTTAGCATATTTGATGCTATATTTGCAGAATCGTATTTTCACTGGTTTTAACCTAAACTACATACAAACCTATGGTAATTTGATATCAGAATGAGCAGCGCACTGACCTCTATAAACTCAGAAAGTTTCAGTCGATTCTGAGATGGTCGTGTACATAGTGGTACATTTCCTATAGATTCATTCTTATCTAGGTATGTTCCTTCAATTACTCGTATTTCCAAAAAATCAAAGACTAGATGGTTTGACTTATAATTTTTTATGACAGAGGGTGTCTATTACGCTCATCAAGTGAGGTACTCATGCTTGGTCTATCGAATCCTTGATATATAGTGCTAACTGTACCCTCTCTTACTATATTTGCTAATTGAAAATTCAAGTAAAAAGAACTTCAAATATTAAACCGAGGTTTTGAAACTTTTCAACCAGTTTCAATAACAATAGTCAAACTACCACACCTTTCACATACACTAAAATGAGTTAACTCCGAGATAGTTGATCGAATGAGTTGGGTTAAAATCAATGGCTTCACATATGTAGAAGCACGTCAGGTGAAGAAGTCAGTATAAGGCATGTATATATTTGTGCTTAAATGCTTCGAAGTCAGATGTTAGAAGCAACCAAACTACTTTCTTTTGTTAGTATCAACTTGTCAATTGACGTTTGGACCAACCGATATATATGCAACTAGTGGTTCCCATGCACAACAGTTCGTTGCTAGCGATTTTAATGGTGACGGTTTATCAGATCTTGCTGTCGGTACTAATGCTTTCAGCACAGCTTCGGATGTGTTTCTTGCAAATGAAAATGGGACTTTTGGACGACGAATGACGTATGCAGTAGTAGATGCTAATGCTCTGGAATGGCTCACTGTCGCTGATTTTAATAACGATAATCATCAAGATATTTTTATTATGATATATGGCGAGAACAACAGTGTAGGTATTCTATTTGGAAATAGCAGTGGAATTTTCGGAGCAATGATAATATTACCAATAGTACTTTCTTATGTAAACTCACCTTGCAGTATTGCGAGTGATTTAAATGGCGATGGTCACATAGATATCGTTTTCACGAAGAGTAGTACCCCATGTTCGATGGCTATATTACTCGGATATGGAAACGGTACGTTTGCGGCCGAAACGATACTCCCTATTGGACATGATGGGTGTGTGCTATCTATTGCTATTGCAGATTTCAACAACGATGATCATCAAGACATCGCTGTAACCATAGATATTGACTTCTATGTAGCGATTCTACTTGGGTATAGTAACGGAAGCTTTAAAACACCGATGACATTCTCCACGGGAATTTATAGTTTTTCATATTCAATGGATGTAAGTGATTTCAACGGTGACGGTTATCTAGATATAATCGTCGCAAACCAAGGTAATTACAATATTGGTGTGCTTCTCGGAAAGGGTGATGGAAGTTTCCGAACACAAATAACAACTATGATCGAACACACTAATTTAGTAAGCCAGTTTGCTATCGGTGACTTTAACGGTGATGGTAAAATGGACGTCGCTGGCGTCTGGGATGTATGGAGCTCTGTGCGTCTTCTTTCTTCGTCACCCACATTTGTAACTGTATTGGTTGGGTATGGTAATGGCAGTTTTGGACAACAAATGATATTTCCAACCGGGCTTGCTTCTGCGGATTATGTTATTACAAATGATTTTAACGGCGACCACCGACTGGATCTTGCTATTGGCAACTTTTTTGGAGGGAATATAAGTATTCTGTTGAACACATGTGCTTTTTGCGCGTTGGAGGTCTCAAGCCAAGCATATGTATCCACCAATGATTTTTCCTGATGAAAAATATGGATTTTATACATTCTTTGCAAGAAGGTTCCATCCACGACAAATATATTGTACATATAACTTTTGCATCAGTGGTGGCGGAGGGTGGAGACTTAAGCCTCACTTATTTTCAGATTGAATATTATCTTTATTATTAGAATTTGTTATGCTCGGCATCTAGCATAATTAGATATATATTCTGATATATGTAGCTTATAATGCGGTTCACCTATTTTTTATATGGTTTTCTCTTCTTTTACTTGGATATTTCCCTTGTCTATATGGTGGTCAGGTATTTTTCCTCTTTTCTTAAATGTTTTCGTGTTTACATGTTAAATTTTTCCTCATTTCGTTTATATATGTTTTACTCTCACAACGTTTGTTTTTTTTTTCAAGCGCATATACATATACACATATATATATTATTATGGCAATAAAGAAGTCGCTCAGTAGTGATCGAATTGATTTATATCCTCTTCACAGTATATTTAATGGCTGAAAAACGTCCGAACATTCATCCATTTTCTTTTTGACACATATACAAAGAAAAGTCTCTGTTTAACTTTCGCATCGAAAAACGAACAGAGAAAATTATCTTTTGATGCGTTCTGATGTGTTTTATTTTTACGATAATCATTGTACTTTTTATCGAAGTCTAATAAAAAGAAGACGTATATTTTGCTTCCTGTTTTAATAAAAATTCACAGTAGAAAAAAATATTGTGAGCCTCACTTAGGTTAATGACGCTCCGCCGCCCCTGTCACATCCTTTCCGTAGAGGGCTTAGCAACGTTTACGTTGCGTTACTTGTACTTAATAATAATAAGAAAACAGAACGACTGCATCATCCAAAATGTTTCCTTACTGTTGAATATTGATGCGAAAAAGAAATAATCTTTATCGTTATTAGTTGTATCTTTTCTTCATACGAAAACAATGAAGAAATCATAGAATTTCGTTATTTAATATACAACAATCATTCATATACCGTTTTTTTAAATACATTGGTATATTTTATATAATCTTTTCGTATGAAATGAATATTTATTTATTGAAGAAATCTTTCTTGAATTAGAAAATGACAACTGTCCAATAATTTGCTTTTGAATATTCTATAAAAATAGATAGAATTGATTCATATCTTGTAGTTAAATAGCGATTATTTTTCAAGAGATTTAAATAAAAATATTTTGTTTTCATACTGATGAAGCAATGTAAGATTTTACATTCTATTTTTTCAATAAATTCTTTGCTCAAATTTAAGTAGAAATCTCTTCTTCAAAATCGAATCCAACATTATATCCTATCTGTGTAACATATTGACCCATAAAGTTACCAAAGTCTTGATGAGCTTTTTCACAACACATTAAATGGAATCGATCTAAAAAGAATTAAAGTTATTGTAGAATATAAAATTTAATTAATTACCAGCAGCACTAGTAAATGTGAGTACAAATCCATTTCTGAAGTTGCTTTCTATACCCTTAGTACTAATTGTACGACCACCAGCAATTTTTATGTACTTTTTTCCATTTATCAAAGCTTTATTTTCAACATCAATATAAGCTTTGGTAACTGAATCAATCTGAGCTTGTGTCACTTTAGGACGATATCTGATCGATATATATATTGAGTATTTTACAAAGAATGAAAAGAAGAAGTCTCATACCGAAAAGTGATGCAATGATGATAAAGTTTGGTTTTATTGCTTGCAGGCCAACAGCCTGTTTGACATCCATCAGCAGCATCACAGTGCTCAGCTGTGCCACCACAAAAGCCATACTAAATTACAAATAAAAATATATGGTTCACTTTTATTGATCAAATCAATCACAAACTCGAGAACAACAAGGACTATCTGGTGGTTTGCACCCCGTTGCAACGCAGTTTTGAGCCATAATGATAGAATTTAAATTCATAATTATAAAAATGATGAAAACTGTTGAATACATTTTGTTCTATACATTAAACTGTCGTTGATAATATTCGTCTTGTGTTTTAATCGAAATAAAATATAAGAGTAACAATAATATACTTATTTGTCTAATCTTGACAAACAGACGTTTTAATTCTCGCACACTATTCTTTTAATCATTCACCATGTGTAATAAATCATCCCAGTACAAAAATAAAAATATCGAATGTTATCTTGTTTTTATTTCTTTTGTTAGTAGAGAATGTTTTTTAAGTATTTAAGAGTATGATATATTGTCTCAATGAATGTTTTTTAATCGATAAGTACATTTGTATGATATTCAACTGATTTTGAAATCAAAACAGAGAAAATCATAAAAGATTTTTCTTTCGTTTGTGTAACTATATGAATTTCATGTACAAAGTATTTTTATATTGATCTTGAAAACAAAAAATAAAAGAATGAAACTTATCTCCGTATGACTCATGTGTTTGATTTATGATGAATATCACATGAAGACTTCTTGTTATCATTTAAATTATAAATGATTAAGTACAATATGAATAGTAAAATAAATGCATTAAATGTTGAATATCTATCAGTCGAAACTATTATAAAATTATTTTCGTCTGACAATATTCTGCTGTCGATTCGATCTTTTCTATGGATGGTAAAATTAACATCTAGTCGATATTTTAAGAATACACATGCAAAAGAAAGAATCAATTTATCTCTTGTCACTAATTAAATGAGCTTTTGTGAGAAGTACATACTCTTCTATCGTTTTTTTTCTGAATAATGTTGATTTTGAAAGACATTTTTAAGAATTATCTTTAAATGGATATCTTCCTTCGTTGAATAAAAAAAATTATTGTCATTAGATCATCTATAAGTAGGATCTAGTTTTACAATGGTATAACCGTTTTACCTCTGTATAGTATAGTAGAAAACTGTTTTACAAATCTTGGTTACACACTTTATATTAATTAGAAAGATATATTTATTTTTTCAAGATTAAAAATAATAATAAGTAAATAGTTATGTTTCATGATGTTTATGGTTTTGTTTGTTTATTATATTTGTCAATATTTTTAACGAATTCATCTACGGCTTTATCGATGAGTTGTTCGACCATTTTTTCCACTGCTTTGCGAACAGCTGCACGCGCAGCAGGATTGAGGTCGGCAGTTTTAACATCGACTTTAGGTTCAATTTGTTCATTTATCTTCTTGGCAATTTCTTTCTTAGCTTCCTTCGATATCACCTTTTCCAAAGCCAATGCATTGACACTTGACTCATTTTTATCAAGATAATCGGCATAGTGTAGATCTTCATAGGGTCCTGGTGCTGCGTGTCGCATCTTTTCTATAATATGATGTCGTTCATTCTAACAAATATAAAAATACTTCATTTTATGGAAGAACAAGAATCCGACAGTTTTAGAACGTACGGTACATAAATAACCGCATAAATGTCGGTGCCTGCTGTATTTGAGTAGAACATGGTAAACAGTTGATTTTTTCACCGTCGGAAAGAGTAAAGTTTCAGCTTTAAAAAGCATGTTCTGAAAATCTTTTCTATAAATTTGAGGGATGATACACAGACTAAAGGTGAAAACACAAACACACTCAGTCAAGACCCTACTAAATCATGGCAGAGGCTTGTTGATCCTGACAGACCGTAGTAGATTTAGTCAAGTCATATACATATAATTTATATATCATGTATGCATAAAATGTATATATAAGTAATTCATTTTAGGTATGAACTCCAAAGAATGAAGGATGACATTACGTCGTTTTATCGCCCTGTTGTTGTTGTAATTACAAACGTCAATAGTTCGGCTACATTAAAACCGATCGAGTTGAACTTTTTTGCCGCTGATGCGTATGAAGGGGATCATTTCATAGCTTCTTGACAGCATCGAAAAGCTTTGTGTAGCACTGAAACTCTTATTTTTTCTAAAATATCTATGTAACTAACCGTTTGTGATGCATTTTTTAAAATTTAACTTTGCTCTTTCCAATAGTGGAAGAATCGACTGTCTATCATGTTCTACTCAAATACAGCAGGCGCCGACATTTGTACAGTTACTTATGCACCGTACGCTAATGAGATGCAGTATTTTGAGATGCAAAACAATGACGGTTCAATATAATTCAATTAATAAGTTAAGCCAGATAACTCACTATATAAGATTCAGGAATGGACGACGTTGCTTGATCAACAGCTTCGATAATTTCTGACGTAAGTTCTGAATCTAATGGTGTTTCGCCGAAACAAGGTGCTGCTCCCATCGTGCTTTTTCGATATGAATATCTTGATAATCTTTAATCTAAATACATAGTAAACAACTTAAAATCATAAATGTAATAAATGTAGGTATCTGATCTAATTAACAGTTCGTAAGAAGTTTCTGTATTGGAGAATGATCTTTATCACGGGTTTAAATACTCCGCAAGAAATGTGTCGTTGTCTCCTACTCGTTGGAATATAAAATATATATTAAATTATTCTTTCCCATCGTCTGTGTGTATAGAAAGAATTGTGTCAAGATTCTCATTTCGGAAGTGTCATATTTATTCAAATAAAATGAGTATTTGATTTACGATCGGAGAATACAAACGATTTGTTTGTTTTACACGACGCAAATACACATACTGAGACTGGAAAAATTTGTACTTTTTTCTATGACCTAAGGCAGTCATGAAATATGCATAGAAGAAGGAATATTCCTCAACAATAACAGGAATTTTTCCAAGAGGGAATAATCCTAGTAAATACAAGAGAACGAAAGAAATATATATATGTGAAATATATACTAACACTATCTATAGAAAGCAAAACGAACGATAACAATCTCTGTCAACATATCACAGTTGCAATATAATAAATGTTTAAGACGATTTGAAAAAATTAAACTCAAACACTAAAAAATTAGAGCAAACAATGAATTTCTTAGAATGTGTCTTATATTTAATGTTACATCCAAATTCATTAGATTCAAAACATATAACAAACAGTTAGCACAATCACGAAAATATCAAGAGTTACTTAGATCTATGTTATATGATCTCTTCAAAGAACAACAAGAAAGATTAAATTAGCGTTCGTTCGTTCGTAGTGCATTTCATACTGGTCTATGATACAAATTATCATCATCGAAGGTAAGAGATGACCAGTGAAAACTATGATTCTATTTGAGTACAGTTATTATGTATTATACGTATGGTATTAGAAAATAAATTCTCTCATTTAAATCAATCCAGAAAACAAATCAGAGTAGTCTCTTATTTTATAACGTTTTTATTATTATTTAGAAATGGATGATTATATGACTTATCATCAAAAAATAGCTTGGGCTGGACAACAGTTAATACAATTGTCAAAAAGGTGTGCGTACGCCGACAACATGGAATAATAGTAATATGTTCAAAATATACCATAAAAGTTAATTAATTTAAATTTTTCTTTTCTTTTCTTTCAGAAGCGATAATACAACAAATTTGTCATCAACCACCATCTGTAACTGGGTCCGGTACACTTTGACGACAATCAGTTAGTCAACGCCGTTTTGCTGACAGCTACCTTTCGTTGACAGTTGCAATTTACTTGCAATGTGCAGGCAATTTGTCTTCTCATTACCACTGGGTGGATATGTAATGAATATTGAACATCTACTCATACACCCGCACCCACTCTCACATCCTCAGAGTTAGTTTATGTTATATATATGCCTATCGAAATGAGCCAATCAGAAGTAATAAAAAACAAATAGATGCAAAATATATTCGCAAAGATAACGCTGAACTTGTTTCATATTTTTTATGTTTACTTTACTTCATCTCAATCAGGTCGAACATCGATTTATGTTCTCTAATAGGGTAATATGTTTAAGAAACTCATAATGTTTTTTTCGTTCTGTTGATGTTTATCTTAGACAAGAGAAATGAATAGAATTCGACATTTACATCATAAAGTAATTATATGTAGGAAGTAAAATAACCGATGTTATTGCCTGACCCAGCGACGATTATTATCATTGTTTTCTTTATATTAACACATATGACAATATGGTCTATGAAAGATATATCCATATCATTTTCTAGTATTTCATGTTAATGTTCATTCGTTCGTTCGTATTATAGTTAAAAAATAAATTTCTCTCTCGTTGAGATAAAAACCCAAAACACAAATTCAACTTGTCTCGTATTTTTAATTAAATAGATAATTATATGACATTCAATCAAAAAATGACTCACGCTGAAAAACTATTTGTGGACATTGCAAAAAGTATTCGACGCTCTATAACATGGAAAAACATTAGTATATTGAAAATATACCATAAAATTTGAATTAATTTAAAGATTTCCTTTTGTTTCAGAAATAATCATAAATCAAATCTGTCATCAACCACCATCTCAAACTCAATTGGACCAATTACTGTACAATGCAGATAAAGACTGTAACTCAGGACGGTGAATACTGAAGCAGTATTCCGTGAATTTCCGGCTGAAACCAGCAGGAAGCATACCGTTTCCGGGCCGGATTGTTCGACCTGGGTAAGACTCGAGCTGAAATTGATGTTAATATGCGTAGATTAAAGCATCGGTTTATCCTCAGAAGACAATAAAGCTTGCTGAAGAACATAAAGTTCTCAAAAAATGATCTTTTTTTGTTGTCTTTAGTTGTCGATTTTTGTTTTTGAGGTCTCTTTTCTTTTGATTATCTACCTTCTCCTGACTGTTGATTTTTTTAATGTTGATTTTCACTTCAAGGTTTCTTTTCTTTGACTTCTGTTTGAATAAAGAATTAAAAACGAATATTTTTGATATTTGAAAATATTCCGTCTAAAGTTTTCAAATTGTATTGCTGTAAAGCGAAATCATAGTTACGATGAATGCTATGTCTATGATATAATGAGAAATGCATGGAATTTATGTTATTCTTTTTTGTGATAGAGAGATTAATTTTGACTTCAATTATAATTATATTTTCGCCAGGTTGCAACATCAAATAGAAAAAATGAAACATCTTTGTAGAATATATAATAATCGAAATAAGATGAGTTGTATGATCAAAGTGTAAAACAAGATTTGAACAATTCTTTTTAGAGTTGCTGCAAGCATTGATTTTTGTAAATTTATTGATTTCATTGTCGTTTATATAGAGATTTAAGTCTATATTACTTAAACTTCATATTCATTGTCAAATTAATCAATATCAAAATTAGGTCAGCAATTACAAAATTCTTACTCAACAGAATTGAGAGTTTTGTAACTTATGCAAAATTATACTGAAGAAGTAGAATTCTTAGCAGAACTTCATTTTTCATGTTCTCTTTCCAAAGCTGAATCAAAAGGAATTTTTCATCGTGACACGATGAAAAATGTTCCATTAATTATTATTGCTAATAAACAAGATTGTACTGGTGCATTATCATCTGATATTTTAATAGAAAAACTTGATTTAAATCAATGGTATCATTGAACATTTAATATTATTCCTAGTTGTGCATTAACAGGAGATGGCTTAAAGAATGCATTTACAGTTCTAGCAAAAACGATACGAAAACAAGCGAAAAATCGTCAAATAGATATGGTTTAAGAAGCTTAATTTCTTTGAAAATGTTTTTTTTTATGTCAGATAAATATAATAAACGGTGATTTTCACATTCCATATGTACTTGATTATTTTTATTTAAAAAATAAATAAATATGTAATTTAAACAATTTCTTTATGATCGTACTGTTAGGATCGTATGATCGCAGTTATTATGCAAATAAAAAAAAAAAAAAAAAAACAATTTCTTTTATTACTAATAGCGTATTAATTATCATATTGATAAATTCTTAGTAGAGAAAAAATATTCTTTATTTTAGTTATGAGTAATACTCTTGATAAATATGTAACTACCTAGATACTTCACTGTATTCATTAATAAAATAATATTCCTGGTAAGACATGGCTTGTTTCGTATTAGTAAATTTATGTATTTATCATGTGATATTTAGCTCTTTAGAAATTTCTCACGTGATCGATAAAATACTTTTTTATCAAGTAAACAGTTACATCGACATTTTTCACTCAAATTATTCTGCTGATACAATCATAGAAATCTTTATCGTAAAGAAAACTAGAAGCTTTCATCATTATGTACTTGTAATACATATATAGTAAGGATAAATTGCAATTATTTTTTGACGATACAATTTTTTTCAGTAGTAAACAACTTGTCTGTATTCAAATGATCTGTATGTAAGTCGTTTTCAATAGCTACAAGGATGCAACTGTAACTTTAATAGGCATGGTATATTCTATAATTAGTCCTCATTCTTGTCTTTTAGGAATTGTTAACATAATTAATATCATATTTACTCTATTATAATTCTTTCTTTCATGAATAATTTATTTTAAAATGATACATATATATTAAATCGATATTTTAAATAATTATTTTTTGGACAATCAAAAATGGCACTTGAAATTATAATGTTTAATTCACATATGTAAATCGTCTTATCACTTGAGGATTAGACTTTTTAATTTTTTTCTTTCGTTTCAGTTTTCTCCAGTATTTACGTACTGGATCAATACCAAAAAAATATTTTAATATATCTAACGTCATAATAAATACAACAACGGCTATCAAAGCAATAATTACTATATATCCGAATGATTTTGAAATTACTTTACGAACAACTAGACTATTTGTTGATTTTTCACAATATTTTCCAGAATAACTTTGTCCCAGACATTCACATTTATATGTAGTCAATAATGATCGGCAAACACCATTATTCAGACAGGTTATATTTGCACAATAATTAATCTTTATTTCACAACGATCACCTTTCCATCCGTTTGCGCATTTGCACATAAATGTTATATTTGGCATTTCGATGCATATACCTAAAGCAAAAAAAAAATAAGTACGTTTAATAATTTTCTATATGTATTAATAAAGAGGAAATATTTACCATTATTGATACAAGTATTTGGTTTACACGGTCGATCATCAAATTGACAATAAGTACCATTGAAATGCAATGGGCATGAACAAATATAACCAAGAGAGTTCTGATTAGTGTTATTACAAGTACCATTATTTTGACATGGTTGAAGCATATCACATAGATTACTAGAGATACTACAATTAAGACCAATATATGCTGTATTAGAACATGATAATGGAGAAAAATAAGATATTGACGTGCGAACTAGAAAGAGAAATATAGAATGGAACAACTAGATACAAATAGCAAGAAAACAATACCATTGATAACTGTAGTATCAATTATTTGACTCGATGTCATCATAGTAGTTGATTCTAAAAAGAAGGATTCGAAATATCGTCTATTTAAACTTGCTTTGAGTAATTTTCTGTATAAATAACATCAAGTATTTCACTGAGTAAAGCTATGTAATAAATTTTTTAGTTTCTTAACTATTGAATTGCTTATTACAAGTACGATAATAGAAGTTTCTGATAAATACAAAAGTTAGTTTGTATGTAATCTAATCATACAAGCTTACGAAATAAGATGTCAAGAGCATGTAGCATAGAATTTTGAAGTTAAATAAATTTGACATAAGTAACTCGAAGTACTTACATACCTGTGTTTCTTTTCAGTTATTCTAAATTACTATCGGTAATAATCTATTGAACTTACTACAAGAATTTGTTGCCAACATAAATTTCTGAATGAGACTACTCCCAACATCCAAAACAAATATATTGCCATGGCTATCAAAAGCAAGTTTGTATGGTTGATTAAGCTGACTAGAAGCTAATCCACTTGTCCCTATACATCCAATCACGCAATTATAACCATCTGGCCCAGAGCGAATAATTCTATTTCCTAGATCGGCAATATATAAATATCCATTACCATCAATCATAACACTTGTTGGGTAAGACAATAAAATACCGTTTGAGGTTCCATTAACAGTCACTGTCATCGCATTCATTTGTCCAGATCTAAAGAGCTGAACTCTGTGATTGGCAGAATCTGCTACATATAAATCAAAGTTCGAATCAATAAATATTCCAAAAGGTGTACAAAGTGTGTTTGCTGATGGCCCACAAGTTGTGTTTCCAGCAACTATCACTGTTGTGTTAGTACTATTGTCAAGTGGAACCATTAGAACAATATTTTGGTTAGAACTAGAACAGTAAAGATTATCGTTTTGATCAATAAATAATCTATAGCATATTTCATTAGAATACATAACGGGAACAGCAATCGTTGAGTTTAGAGACCATTTGTCAATACGTTTATTATCTATACCACCATTGACATAAATATCTTCGTTATTTGTCACAAAAAGAGCAACAGGTAGTGTTAAATTTTTGATAATTCTAATCGGAATAGAACTTCCTTCTAGCCAAACAAGGACTTGTTTATTCGAGAGACTTGTTGCATATATGGTGTTATTAGTAACAATAAATATATCATATGAATTCTGTCCAAGCAAAGTACTGTTTGCAAAAATTGTCCCATTTGCTTCCCAAGTCCCAAGAGGACAAAATTTGGGCTGGTTAAATGAAATAGCTACAAAAGATAAATAAACTCATACAAGTATTCATCATTGTCTACAAAATTCGACTCAACTCTATATTATAATATTATATTTTCATGTTAATGTTTGTCTTCACCTTCACTTTTATAGTGAGATATTCTGACATAGATTCTACTACGGTTAGTAATTCTGAATTCGGATTCTCTCATGATAGGTTAAATCGAAAGTGTTGAAACAAGTATTATCACTTGACCGACTCATTGTAAGTAAATTCAGTCGCTAATTTCTAGGTTATTAGTTGTAAATATGCGTTATACCATTTTATTCTTTCATGAAGTCAAAAATTAATATAACTATTTACGTTTCTTCATATTATAATTATATAATTTTAGACTATAAGAGATTCTCTTGATATTAGAGCGAAGTAAAAGAACTTCTGAGGAAGAAAACAATCATATAGAACACTTACTTGATGATGTTACATCAACTATCAGCAAAAAGACAAGCTCAAGATAAAATTTTTTATTTAACAATTTCTTCGACATTTCATTTATTTTGTTACTGACTCTTTTATTTTTATTATGAAGAAGTAGTCAAAAATGAAGTTAAGAAATACTCGGGATAAAACTAGAACATACGTAATAAAAAAATAACAAACAGTTAGTGCGTTTATAACCTTGATTCTTATTTTTAAACAAATATTAATTTCCGATAAGCATCGTTTATAATACAAATAGTAAAGAATTCTTTCCTCTTTCAAGAAGAAAAACAGATACCTGGCAAAACAGGTATTGAATAGTACTTTACACTTTATGATCTATTGATTGAGAAATTAAATATAATTTAAATAATAATTTTCATTATCAATGTTCTCAATATTTTATTTGCGTACGATCTTATACAATTGTTATCATTTTTCTCTGTAATAGTCAAAGAACAGTGTTCAATATATTACGTTGTATACAGTCATAAAACTTATATTTTTAATTTTTTTAATGTAATATACTAGTTTTCAATAAAGATAATGCTGGTTTTGTAGATTTATGTAATTCTACAATAGATAACGAAATATGAATAACAATTTAATGTTAGAAAACAACTAAACATACACAAAAGAACAGTGAGTAATATATTACTTATTATTCATAAAACGATATCAGACTGCTATCATACATCATATAGATGCGAAGGCTAGTTGAAGCAACGCTTAATACTCAGCTGAAAATACGCATCCAAAACTACTTTTTACATAGAGGGATCGTAATAATAAGACATATGCAGAACATCATAGTGTTCTCATAGAACTAACTGAATGCAATATTTAAAGAGCTGATTTGATATCGAGTTTAATCGTTTCTGATCTAGCATCTCCATTAAGATAATATGAACTATTTATGGTTTATATTTCAACGTCTAAAATAAATAAATTTAATCAAAAACAATATATCATTTAAATTGTAAATATTAAAATCAATCCTCTCCTAACGTTCAAAATTTATTAAATTCTTGTTTAAAAATAAAATTTTATCTTCAATCTATATAAAATGAAAAAGAAATGAAAATATCCAAAGTTCACGAAGTTCTTGAACATATAAATATATTAAAGTTCAACGATAGAACTAAAATTCTGCCGAAGAAATAGAATCTTTAGCATTATTTTATTGCCTCATAATTGATGGATTGGTTGATGGAGCTTAAATATACAAAATTCTAGATCCTGTTGGATAAGAATTTTATAGGCCATCCCCTCGTTAGATATAATAAGTTTTTTTGAGTATATATTTTTTATTTCGAACACTTTTATACTGATATTTGCACAACTATGTATATTTTAATATAATCTATGTAGTTATGAATAATATAAATATATAATTTTTCTAATATGTTATTAAATATTGAAGATTTAAAGATCAGAAACTTATGACATAGAATTTTTAATTTCAACATGTGAGAAAATTATCTATGATAAGTTTATGATTCAACTCATATACTTTTTTTTTGTTATAATACGCAAGACACTCCATCTACAGTTGGAAAGACTTTCAAACCGATCGAGCAATCAATGCTGTTACGTTTACTACTAGTAAATGTTAATACACTTCGAATTTTTGTTTTGTTAATATAAATAAAGTATCTGTTATAAACAAACATTTGATATATTTATAATTTATTGAATAAGATTTAATCGAATTATTGTTAGTGAAAGTGATCTCTCTATAAAATCGAAATTAATAAATTTTATTTATTTGTAATAAAAAAAATGAATCGCTTTTACTTTGTATCGTATATTAATACCTGTATGCCATTAATTCATATATATAAGTGATACATATATTATCTGTTGCATCCAAGTTACAATTATGACTCAAATTCAACTACCATATAAGTACAAAAATAAACCAAAATTCGAAATTGTTTATAAAAGAAAAAAAAACGAACATTTTTTCAGGCAAATAAATCATAAAGAAATAGAAAAAATATCATATTATCGGTATAATAATTACAGGTATTCTTATCTTTAAATGTCGAGAAATTAGAAGAATAGATAGATTTTTTTTCTACAATGAATTCTATCAAAACCATGGAAAAAAATAAACAATAGAAACTGTTCTGTTATTATAATCACATGATTTTCATTCTATGGGTACATTTTTTACCATTTGTTTGTGCGGTGATTTAGAGTCCAAATTTCAAAATAAGTAGAGAAATTGTTGCTAAAGACAACCTTAAAAGCAAACTAGTAATGTATATTTTTTTTGTCTCTCCAGGTACTTAATATTACGTTAAGAAACATTCCTTTATGTCTCTATTTCAACGACCTTGAGCATTTTTTCTTTCCTACAGCTAAATTTCTAACCTAGACAGGATAGAAATGTTATAACAAAAAAAAACAGACGAAAAAGTCAACGGAAAGATTGTTTTCATGTACAATCACGTTCTTTCTTCTTCATGTAATATAAGTATGCGCAAAAAGAAAGAGAATCATGTATCGAAGGGTACTGAATAAAAAGTAAACAAAGTGTTTTTGAAAGAAATAGGTACTCATAGAATGAAACAATGTTGTTTTTGTACGCGATCGCTATCAGAATCTTATATAAAATGCGTTGCTTTCTTTCAGTTTACAAAAAAAAAAGTAATCCTTTATAGATTAATGTAATCGCTCATTATGTCGCTTAAACTAAAATCAAATCTTGAATGGTATGTGTAATCATATATATAATATATAAAAATTTTCGAAAATATTTTTTTATTAGTTCATCGATGAAAGTTGAGAAAAGTTCAAAGGGTAAACGATTAACAAAGGTTTTATCGAAATTACTTTGGCATTTTAATCAAGCAGTACCAACTTATACACCTACTGCTAGTCGTCGTGCTAGATCATTTGATAGATGTATACCAAATTCGTATTCTCATGAAGAAAAAAAAGTAATGGATAAAAATCGTGTTCAATTTGGATATATAAAAAATTTTCGTATGCATTCAATACGTCAACGAACAACAACCTTAACGTCAATTAAAGAAGAAAATGAAAATGATATTATGAATTGTAAATAAAAAAAACTGTTGATGAAGTGTGTTTGTATCATGAAAAGCGTTTCTAGTCATCGATAGCTGTACTATTCGAATACGTGTTTTTATTCGTTAATGGATAAAATTTATTAAGATTATAATAAATCCTATGTGTTTTGTTTTTCTTAATTCATACAATTCATTGTAAATTATATTAAAACTGTGAAAAGAAAATAATAAAGATGTTTAGAAACTATATGTTTAGATTTAAATATTTCTAATTGGAATTATTAGCTTTTTTTTCCGGAGTAATTAATAAATAACCATAGGCAACGTATCACTATTACAAGAGACAAAAATTGCTTCCTCTAATTTCTATGTCCTCTAATAATATGATCAAGTTAAAACGATTATAAATAACAATAGAAAAGTTGCATGCGCGAACAAACCGACACGGAAGAAAAAGGAAACAGAGACATACACGTAGCGACAAGTATCGTCATAGAATATTCAAATAATCATTACGTATTATTACAAAACTGTGAAATTAAATTGATGCAGATAACTTTTTACATTAAATCTATTCTATATGATCTTTTAAGTCTTCTAAGATAAATCAAAAATTTTATTTATAGAATATTTATTTTAAACAACAAAAGCAATATATAGTTTACGGTATATGTATGCATAACAATAAGCAATAGAAAAAAATGTTGAGTTTCAGTTATTTATTGAGCATAACCGGGTGGTTGATCTGGAACGAGTTCAACTTTTGTCATTTTGTCATATTCATCCGAATCAAGCCAACGTTGTACAGGAAAATAAGTTGTTTGATTTAATGTTTCATTTGTAATTAAAAGATTATCAACATACCAACCTTGATTTTTATCACCTGTATGCCATAATGTTGCACCTTTTATTTCTCCTAATGAAGGTAAGAATTGTGTAAATATATCCGTATGTCCATGTTCAAATGGATCTTTATGTGTATGTGAATTTTGCAATTGTATTGATTCGGAATTTGCTGTTTCACCATGTACAATTAGAAAAACATTTGCATTTGTACCAGATTTATTTCCTATTAATTTTTTACCTTCCGTACCTGTTTTAATTGATATTTTATATTTATCTTTTCCTCGTAAATCACCATCGGGACAATTTGGCTTTGGTACACAATGAAATGATAAAAATTCATATAAATTTGCATCATCTTTACAACGACGAACAAATTCTTTTCTTGATATTTCATTTTTATCATCAAAACCTAAACATCTTAATGTCCATTCAATAATTTTCTCACGTTTTTCTTCATTATTACTACCATCTTCTTCTTCTTGATCATCAGGTGTTTCAACAAGATCTAATATTGTTGTAATAACACTTCGAAAATGTTTACGTGATAAATTATTTTCCAAATGATTTCGATTATATGCTTTAAAAGCTATTTCAAGTTTAGCTTTTTCATCTGTACCTTGTGTAATAGCAACAATACGTAAGAATTCACGAAAATTCAATGCTTGATCACGATCATCATCAAATGTCGTAAAAAACATTTGAGCATAACCATCAGAATTACGTGCACGAGGATAATATGCACGATAAAGATTTAAATAACGTTCTTTTGATAAACTACCACTTGGACAATCATGTGTAAAACGTTTATGCCAATCTTGTATTGATAATTTACTGAGACCTGTATCTTCAGATAATTGATTAAGCTCTTTTGGAGTCAATGACGACATAACTTATGTGATGTGTTTGATGTAAAGAATAAATGAAATGTTTATATGATAACTTCTTTTTTCTCTTTTTATTTTTCTTCGCCTGCTTCTTTTTCATTTTCTGTAAAAAAGGAAGCATCATGTTTGACGAGTCTATGAGTGAGACGCGCTGTTGTCATGTGAATTAATCAACATAATGTAGGAAAATATGTTAGTTTCCTTTTTTGTTGTAGTAACTCTAAGACGATTATTATAGAATAATAAATGATTCTCGACAAGGTTTTTAACAAAAAAAATATCTATCAAATAATTCTTCTATTGGTTAGTTATGAAAATGAAATAGAATTCATTTCAGTTTATATCTGCAATTAGAATAATTATTTGATAAAAAAGTCAGATTTAGTATTTTTAACTTTATCAATCGGATGTTTTCATAAGATAAAAATCTGTAGTGTTGAAATTACGACAAATAATTACTTAAATTTAATATTCCTCTTTATTAAAGTGTTCAAAATAATATTTTTTTCAAAACTTCAACTTATCATTTACTTAAATAAATGCATTTAATAAGTGGAATAGTCTAGAAAACATTTTTTTGTTTTTCTTTTGTCAACCTTCCCATAACTGTTGCACAGATGACAGTTATTACATCTAAGAAGAAAACTTATTCATGGGTCTCATCAGAATACAATGTTAACTGAAGTATGAATGTAGAAGAGAGATGAAGAATAGTTTGAAATTAAATATTGTCAAGGGTTGATTGTTAGCTCATCATTTTATTAACAGATATATTTTAAATATCTTATCTAAGGTTAAAAAAAATAGTTCAAAGCATTCATAAACATCTTCGGGCATGTAGAAACCATAATTATTATACGTATACTAATCGCTCATTTGCCATTGATAGATAATGAAATACAAATCATCGGTTATTAACAAATTGAATAAGTATTTAAAATAGTATTAAAATCAAAGTTCGCATATTGTTTTCACGAAGAAAATCTCTTCGCTGTCTTTTTTTAGTCTTCTGTATACAAACAATTTTCTCAGTTGGAGAATTTGTAACATGGCAACAGGTTAGATAATTGATTATGTCAGATAAATTCTCGACAATAATTTCATTTTGATACATCAGGATTCTATGCTTGGATGATTGAAAGTAAATTTGATGTATCCGCTTATTGTCAACAATCATTATTTGATACATTTCATTATTTAATAAGTATTAGATATGCACTATAACTTTAATCTGTCCAACACTTAAAATAACTTTTTCATATATTTTTTTAATGTTAGTACTCGTTTATATTCAATAAGTTAACGATATATGAAATTCTATAAAGGTAATCTTTTGATTTCTTTTTAATCAACAGATTTTCGAAAGTTAATTATTTAAAAAATATCTAGTGTCTTTCGTTTCTGAATGACATACTCATTATGCATCACTATAGCATTCATTGTATTCCTTTTTTGTGATTGAAATATGAAACTGAGATGATCAAAAGTCAAATCAATTTTTATATTTCTTCCTTTCGTAAAACTTCGATGATTTTATTCTACATATTTAAACTTCTAATCTTCACAAATTGTGTTTTAAACATGTAAGTACATTATTATCATTTCTATCGTTATCAATAGAAAATACTTTGCATAAAAAGAAATAATAATACAAAATCTCAGCGGTTAAAATTACTATGTATGAAGAAATTAATAATTATTATACTTACCATCGTAAAAAAGAAACCTTATTGAATAAAATATTAAATTAACTGCTGTTTAATTATTTTCTATTAATTCTATATTATTGAGAACATTCTTTGATCAGAATATTTTCTATAGAACTAAAATTATTAAATTAAACAAATATATATTAATATTTAATAAAAAAAGAAAATTTTCTGTTAATATAATGAATATTAACCGAGACAACAAATGACAAAAACAGTATGTCGATGTCACATAAAATAAAATCAAACAGAAACTACATGAAAAAAAACGGATGACTAAGCATTTTCTTTAGCTAATGAAAATATATTGGACTTATATTCATATCAAAGTTAGTCTAACTATTATGTATATTTATATCCTAAACCATAATGTATAATCTACTTTAACTTTTATCTGGGTAATCTGTGCGCAATTACTTGTCGATGTTAATCATCTGAGTATGATTATTTTGACATGTCATGTTAAAAGAAATTGTATATGTCTGAAAAGAAATATTATTTTCCAGTATGCCAATCATTGGAATATATAAGTTAGTCTTATTATCATTTTGTTAGTTAATTTTCGTTGTTTTGATACTAGTTTGATATAAGTTGTCATGAAAAATTACTTTACAAGCTTTGTATATCCACTGAAGCGAAGCATATGAATGTCAACATGTAAGAAAATGGATGATATATACAAATAAATTTTATAGACGTTTAAGAAGAGGAAAAAAAAGAAAAAAATAACGAATGAATATATGTTTTTTTTTCTTAACTATTGTCGGACGCCGAAGGTGACTGCAAACGAGAACATTATTATGATAGGTAAGGTCTAATGTTCTTTTCTCACTTCAAAATAAATATATATATATATCGATGGATATTAATTTTTAATTTTATTGAGTTATATTAGAAGAATTATTATTCTATTTCATTTATTAAATATTTATTGATCGAGATGGTTTTATACCATAGACAATAAGATAACAGACGAATAGAGATGCGTGTAATAAAACTAATGACTTTTTTTTTATATGTAACGATCATCAAACAATATCTTTTAGTATGTTGTTTCCTTTAAAAATGACAATCAATTTATATATATGAATAAGATATGTCGTACTCTTAACTTTTTTTTTATAATGTACTTTTATTTTTCCACATTATACGATCAAAACCTGTCAAGTTGCAAGGAACGACCGAAGAAAAAAAACACCTAAAGATACTTAAAGTACGGTTTTTAATATATATCGAGTATTATTCACGTGATATTTTTGCTGTCGATTAACCTGTATAGTTCTTAGTTTGTATGAGTAAAAATATTAAAAAACTGTGTAACCTTACAATTAATCATGATATTGGATAAACTAATATTTATTATTGAATAGATTATATATTATTTATGAATAGTGAATATAAAAGTGACAATTTTCTTTTTTTTTTTTGGTTATAGATTTTAATAACTAAGAAAAACTGATTATATTTAATATAAATAATCGAATTTTTCGAATTAATATTTTTCTTTTTTCTATTAATGAAATAAACTTAGAAAAAAAAACATCATCTTTCATTTTACACTTATTAGATAAGTATTTTTATCTACATCTTTTCTTGTCAAATTAAGTTTCTCATGCAAAAACAATGAAGTATTCTTTTTTTTATTTCTTTGTTTCGCATGAATGAATGAATGAATAAGATTATTTTTTCTATTTGTCATATTTGTATACAGATTATTTTTTCTATTTGTCATATTTGTATACAGATTATTTTTTCTATCTACCTACTCTAACGATTTATAACATATATATCCATTGAATACCTTTTCTTCTTCTTTGCATAGCAGAATTTTTTGTTTTTTTTATTTCATTAAACTACTATAATATTTTGAAATCTCCATGACAAGCGTATATCATATATATATATATATATTTATTTATTATAGATAATATTCAACCATTAATCATATTAATTTTGCACCTTTAATGTATGTCTCTTACTGATAAATATCAATTTCATCGACCGCAAATACCATTCATCATTCCTTCAATCTCTTCGAGTGATTTAAATGTAACGTTATGATTATTTACTTTTTAGAAAAAAAAACATATTTATTCTTTTTAGTTAACAGTACCAAAAAAATTATTAGATATGGATTATTCATTAAAAAGACAATCATGGTTAGAATTTATTAATGAATCAATGATAGATAATACACAAAATCCATCGATGAATTTTAAAATTGAAACAAAAGAGTCAACACAAATAAATGATATTCATTACACAGTGGTTGAATCCGATTCAGAATCACAACATAATATAACTACAAATTTTAATCATCCGACACATTTTAATCGATCCATTGAAAATATAAATACAGCAAATAAACAACAGCAACAACAAAAACGACTCACCAATAGTAAGTAAATGTTTTTCTCTTGTCAATGTTTATTCAAATGGAAAACAATTAATAATTATCTATTGTAACAACATTTTTTTCCTTATTCTTCTATAGTTTTTTTTTTCTTTTCAAACATTTCTTTGTCTTGTATATATCTCTTAGAATCGTTCTTGTTGTTGGAAATTTAGCTGTACAAAATACAGGGCAAAGAACACGATGACTTCTTACATGCGTATATACATGCGCTTTTGTCGGGTACAAATATGTGAGAAAAATCAGAGAGAATAAGCTTGCAGACAAACCCATTTCTTTTTCTTCTTTTCTTTTCCTTCGTTTTTCTTTTTATCGTTGCCGTCATCGTCCTTCGCGTCGCAATACATTATAGAAACTATGTTATTTGCATGCACACTCATGGAATCTCGTTTTTTTTTCGTCTCTCAACCATATAAACTCGAATATTCTTCTGAGTGACTCTATCTTTTCCTTTTTTTTTTGTTTATAACAATATATATATATTCTCGTCAACCTACTTAATCTAAGGTCATATATATATATATATATAGTTCTTCATATGTGACTAAGGAAAAAATAATTTTGCTATATTTATATTTTTTTCTTTTGAACACTTTTTTTCCGTTACTCTTCACTCAGACAAGGAAAACCTTCATATAAGATAAAAGTCGTATATACAAATAGCAAATGCGTTCGCTAGAAATGTAACAAGAAAACGGGAGAATATACTGTCGAATGAAAAAATAGACAACGTCATTAACCAGTATGAATATTATGCATTTGTTATTTGCCTTTTTCTTTTTCTTTCGAGGTTATTTTTAACTATTATTGTCATAGACAAAAGTCTCTATATAACCTTAGATTGTATAATTTTTTTTGAAAAATTTAAATGTCTAATAATAAGATATGTTAAAAAATGTCTTCAATTATTAAACAACAACCATATAGTCCAGTATCATTTAATTCATTTTCCAGTGATTTTTATAATCATCAACAATCAATAACATCAATGGAAAATGAACAATTATCACCAACAACAAATAATATAGCAGAAAGTTCTTCAACATCAAATATGGTAACACCATCAGCTACAACTGAAGGTGGAGGAAGAGGTTGGTATGAATAGGATAATAATAAATACGAATAAAATATTCATCAATAATATTTACATTATTTTTTGTTTATATGTAAGAATAAATATTGAGTCAAATATTTTTTTCTTTTAAGATAATTTTCTTTAAATATATAGTTAGAAATTTCATTTATATAAAATATTATTTAATTATTAAATATTTTCTTTTTTTTTTCTTTATTCCAGGTCAACCTTCTCCAGAAGATAAGCGTCGTTGTGTATGTTTAGTTAAATTTTAATATATATAATTACATAGATATTTTCTTTTATTTTTAAGTCTGTATGTAATGATGTTGCTTCTGGTTATCATTATGGTGTATGGAGTTGTGAAGGTAAATTTTTCTTTTTTAAAGATAAATCTTTTTCTTAAAATTCTTTTTTTTAGGATGTAAAGCATTTTTTAAACGAAGTATTCAAGGTACAAATGATTATGTATGTCCAGCAACGAATACTTGTACAATTGATAAACATCGTCGTAAAAGTTGTCAAGCTTGTCGTCTACGACGTTGTTATGAAGTCGGTATGACAAAAGGTACAGCAAGACGAGAAAGAAAATATCGAAAAAAAGCTGTATCGGTTTGTAAAATAACATCAACGTCATCAAATTCAAATGCTACAATAAATAATCAAGAACATGGATCATCAGTATCAACAACTAATGCTCGAACATCAACAATCACACCTTCGGTATCTCAATCGAATAATAATAGTAATACTTATTCATCACACCAACAACAACAACAACAAACTAATAAGGTATAGACTTTTTTCTATTATAATTTTTATCGTTTCATTACTTTTCTTTTTTTCTTCTTCATTTAGACTACATCGGACTTAACACGTGTTGCAACAACGACTAATGAATTTCTTACAACTCTGTCTCAAGCATCTCGTTTAAATTTACCAGCTAAAATTGATACAAATCGTCCATTAGATGATCAATATTTTCTTCAATTACTTGCAAAAGTTTTTGATCAAGAATTAGTTGTTCTTATTAATTGGGCTAAAGCCATACCAGGTATTTATAGTTTGTTTTTTGTATTGAACGAAAAACAAATCTCTAATATATTTTTATTAGGTTATACTGAAAGTTTAACACTTGATCAACAAGTAACGATGATTGAACAAAGTTGGTTAGATACATTAATTCTCGATATAATCGAACGTTCATTAGAACGTAATGATGATTCATTACAATTTGCACCTGATTTTATTGTCCCACGGTAAACAATACTCAAAATTAATAAATAATACTTAGTTTTTCAAATTTAGAAATCGTGATTTATCAAGTTCTATATTAAACTCAATATGTACATATTTATTTAATTTAATTCAAGTGTTTAAAGATCCACGTACAACACATGAAGAATTTATTGCACTTAAAGCTACAATACTTATTAATTCGATACCAGCAACTATATCATCAACAAAACCTTTTCGTATATTAACAAATCAAATTTATCAAACACTACATTTTACATGTGATTTAAATCCTAGTGTATATCAAGATACTTCTATTCGGCATTTTACACTTTTATTGCAATTATCACATATTAAAATGTTAAGTTCGAAATTAATAAGATTATTTTTAGACATGCGTAATAATGATTTATTACCACAAGCTGATCTTTTATTAGAAATGCTTGATGCACAAGATGTGTTTGATATATCATTTAATATGGATGTAAATACTTTCTCATCACAAACAAAAACTTTCAGTCACAATTCGTTAGAAAATAATAATGCATCATCATCACCATTCTCACTCGATAATACATTAATATATACCGATCAATATTCAACTATGTCAGCAATGAAAACAAATAAAGATCATCTATCGAATTTATCTGAAAAACGTTCATCGTCAACTCCAGCTCTTCCATTTTATCAACAAACAGATAGTATGTCTATAACAAATACTGGACATATGTTAAATAATGGTTCATCATATTAACAAAAAAAACTGCTCAAATACAAATTCTTATTCTTAGATATTAAATTCTATTTTTCTCATTTTGCTCATATATTGACATATACTTACATCAACTTGAAATTCTCAGTTTAATTGTTTGAATATAAAGACACACATGATGTTCGATTGTATTCGAGTTGAAATCTTCATTGTAGTGATTTATTACAACTCGGTTAAAAAAAACTGTCTCGGTGTTTTTTGTTTTGTTTATGTCTTTAAAAAATTATATTTTGTTTGTTTGTTTTTCTATTCTTTGCTAGTTTGTGATTCTGTTAAACGCGCGTATTGTACGTCAAAAAAAACGAGAAACAAATCAAATTGTTTATGTTTAGAAAGTAAAAACAAAAGAGTATGTTTAAGATTATTCTGATATTGTTAAAACAAAAAAAAATATTCTATTACTTGTCTCACCTAGAATAAGAAAATGGGGTTAAATATAAAGCTTTTGTTTTATTTGAAAAAATATTTCTATCTTTGTATAATATGTAATGAGAATAATATCTCTAATGTAGTTTAAATTATATTCCATCATAGGACTCGCTACGAATTTAAATAAAAATCCATGAAAATTTTATTTTTTATTATCACCAAAGATTTTAATTAAAAGAAAATCGTATATGTTCCATAGGGATATGTCAATAAATGTGAAAACAACTGGTTCTCTACTTTCTATTTTATTATTTAATTAACAAAAAAGATATATAGAAATATAATGGAATAGATAATAAAATAGTGCCGTTAGAAATTCAAGCAATCAATATTGACATATAATTAAATTATTTTTAAACGATAAGTACGAACTTTAATAGAAAAAATGGATAATTAGAAGAACTCAAAGTATTTTCATGAGGTATTCATTAGTATAAAACTTTAAGACAAATTAATTATCCTCTAATCGATTTGTTGATAAACAATCACTACTTAAATAACATTGCGGCAGTCCTTTCATCATAAATGCATACAGGTGATTTGTTAGATTATTATAACAGCAATTATTTTATTTGTCTATTAAAATGCCGTTTCCATAATTGAGCTATCACGTTTAACTATATTATCATGTGTTGTTCTTCCTGCATCTTCTTGATTAATTTCTATTGTTGTTGTATTCTTTCTTTTACACAATGACCATAATAAAAGTAATCTAAATAAATATGAATAAAAATAAATATATATATATATATATAATTTTTTTACCCAATAAGAATGAATGGTATTAATGTGAGGAAAGCTAATATAAAAAAAATTATTCCAGGATATACTGCAATTGTTTCGGCATATATTTCATTAGCAACAATACCAACAACATATGATCCAAGTGTTTCAGCAATTCCAGTAGCTATAAAAACAAGTGCAAATTCAGTATCATTAACTAATTTTGTTAAATGTGCTCGTATGACAGCCATAACAACAAAAAGTAAACATCCAATAAAAAAAGCTTAGAATATAAAATTATAATAATAAAATAAATCTTAATAAATTTTTAACTTACCAAGATAGACAACCCAAGTAGTTTGAGCTATACCAAAAATAACTAAATGTATTGAATACATTAATATTGCAATACATGGTAAATATAATGAATTTGTAAATCTAGTTTGCCAGAAACTAAGAATAATTGATACAAATATCATTAAAGAAAATTGTGCACTAGTCGCTATTGCTAAATCTAATGCATTAAAACATAATGGTTTTCCATAAACATAAAGTGAATCAATGCTTACAAAACCAAATAAAACAATGAAAAGTACAATCTGTGCTGATGTAAATAATATTATTGATCGTTGATCATTTCCAGTACGTTTTTTAAGAAAAACTCGATATGTACCAGGTATAGGTGTTAAACGTACTTTACTTAATTGTTTTAAAAAATGTAAAATATGCCAATTATTTTCACCACGTGATTCAGGTTGAAAAGCCATTATATAAATTAATGCACCGACATTTATACCTAAATTAACTGCCATGGGTAATGTATGACCATGTTGTTGTAACCAAAAACCAACACCTAATAATGGAAATATACGAGTTAAAGCAACTGCAGCTTCTTCTAATACCATAGCACTTGATCGTTGTTTATCTGTTGTACAATCAGTTATATAAGCAATACCTCCGAGTAAAAGAACACTATTTGAACCAAATAAACCATCAATAATATTAGCTATAATAAACCAAATATCACTAAGATCTAGTTGTACAAGTAATACAAAGATAGTATATCGAATAATTCTTCCTATACATGGAAGAATTAAAAGAGGTTTTCGTCCAATACGATCACAATTAGCACCAAGAATAACATAAGATAATACAGCTGGTATTGCTCCAACGCCAGCCATTATTATATTTAAATGACTAACTGATTTTTGTACGTCGTCAGCTAACTCAAGAATCGCTGTATTATTAGCAAGATCCTCTGTATTACAAGCTGTTTCACTTGATGGTGAACTTGCATTCACAAGTCCATATACGACTTGATAACGTTGAATCAAAAGATCATTAAGAATAACTGGCTCAGTTGTTGCTGTTGTCATAGAAACAACAATAACAGGAAGAACAATCCACCAATAATAGGGTTTTTGTTGTTGAGATGACTGGTTTTCATTGGAATTGGTTGCTGGTCTATGTGTTAATACCATTGCTGTTTTAATTTTATCAATAACATCGATATTTTTTTTTACTTATATAGGTCCTTTTCTTATTTTATGATGCTATATCATGATTTCGCTCAGTATGTATTCTTTTTTTCTTTAACGTACTCTTATAAAAATAATAATTGAGGGTAATCATGCTTCTCTTGTGAATTATCCTTTTCCATCTATTCATTCTTTTTTTTTTTATTCAATAGATGTGAATCAATCATATGGAGGTCGTTTATTTTGTTGTCAGACCTATTGAATAAGTACTTTACTCAATTAATCTAATGTTTTTTAGTCTTTACATAATATTCAAATCGAAAAAAAAAAATGTCAAAATATATATGCAAATCTATTTATTAAGTTCTTTCATGTTATCAGGTACTATCAATAAATCATCACATACGATCAATACATCTTCTATAAATTTCTCGTATTTTTTTTTATGTTCTCTTTTTTCTGATGTTAATCATTATTATCAATAAATATCTATTGATTCGACTTTTTTTCTTCTCTAGTGGCATGCTCTCTTTTTTTTTTCATCATCATAGCTGGCAACATTTAATGCGAGTAGGAAACGCAAAAAGATAAGACAGCAATCCTTCTATCATTCATGCACTATATATATATATTTATATGCTATTCAGATAGACGCCTGATCCATTACCGCTTTGTTGTTTTCCATTAGCCTTTTTTTTTCTCTAATACATGAACAAGCGATTATAAATAAACATTAGAACATTAATCTTAACAATACGGTTTTTTTAACCGTAAAATATTGAATTTATTATATAGCAATGATGTTTATAAAGAAGACACATCAACACATCATTTGAAATGGGTGATTCCAAGCATTCAATATCGTCAAGAACAACTGATCTACTATTGAAACAACGACAACGTTTTTGTATATGCAAGTGTCTTCTAGAGAATATTACATATTATGAAAGTAAGTTAGAAATAATTAAATTTTCACACGTATTAGATATTCGAAACAATTACTAAATTTGTATTCCTTGAGCTTTAGCAGCGAATAATAATTGATCTGTTACGACACGAGAATCATTTTTATTAAAGCAAATAGCTTGTCTATATTAATAATTAATGCATGTTCACAGATATCTTTTTTTACATTATCATAAATTTCTATAAGTTAATGGAAAATTTGTGTATTTTATAGAGTAATTTCTAAATAGTTCTTAGATTAATACTTTTGTAATAAAAAAGTATAAAACCAACACTATATTATGTAATTTTAACATAGGAAATAGTACTTACAAGTGATTCTTTTACGTAATTCTGTATAATCTTTCATAAAAGATACAATTCATCCGGAAATATGAAAAATAATAAAAAAAATTTATTCGGTTTTGTTACTATAGAAAATACCTCATGCTGTTTTTTTATACTGAATATTTACATGAATAAAATAAATTCATTTTGTTTTCATGTTTCTTAATAATATTCCATAGTATCAGCCTTCTCACAGCTTCTTACAAACATTAAAAAAATACTATATATGGTATCCTTGAATATAATACTATTGAAAATATCTACATCAATCCTTAGAGGGTGTTTTTTATTCTTTATTAAAAACTACTAAGAATGACTAATTATTTATCTTCTTCTAAATATCTCAACTACAAAGTGTCCTAAAAGTCTGGACGGAAAGTTTACACGAATAACTCAATTACTAAACAAGCTTAATCTAATATTTTTTTTGTTTGGAAGAGGCAAGCATAAAGTTCTTTTTGTCTACTACAAAGTTTATAAATACTCTTAAAAGGCTATCACTTATGGTGACTATATGAAAACCTATATTTTTCTAAATACCAAAAATATTTACAAACATTTTTAGTGTGTTGGGAAGTAGCACTACAATATAGATTTGTTCATATTGGGTATGGAAAAAGCCACCAGAGTAAGTCAATCGGATTACTTTATGCGGTTTTTGTAGAGCTTTTCATATCGTATCTTTTGAAAAGAAGAGCAAGATTTTATCATTTTCTCAGGTCGAGATATAGCCTTTCAAGAGTATTTATAAACTTTGTAGTAAACAAAAACAAATTTATGCTCTCGCCTTCCAAACAAAAAAAATATCAAATTAAGCTTGTTTAGTAATTGAGTTATTCGCGTAAACTTTCCGTCCAGATTTTTGGGACACCCTGTATATAATTTCTATTAAAATCTACCAATAATAATATTCTTATAATTTTAAATTTTAGAAAATTGTAGTTCATAAGTTGTATTCGATAAAAAATGAATATAATTTTAGGATGATGTGACGTTCGCAAATAGTATTCAATAGAAAATAAATTAGATTTAGGCAGACATAGAGTTTCCAAGTTGTGTTCAATAAAAAAATGAATTAGATTTAGGAAGATGTGAAGTTCACAAATTGTGTTTAATATCAGTTTAGGAAGATGAAGAGTTCGCAAGTTGTATTCAATAGAAAATAAAATAAAGTTTGGGAAGATGTATAGAACAAAATATAAGGAAAACTATTCCAAAGAAGATAATAAAGTTTTTTTTCATGAATGACTTTTCCCTTCCAAAAAAAGAAAACTTTGCCTGGGACATATATATGATTTCTTTTTAGCACCTAAAATAGTTCGTTTTGAAGCAAAATGGATAGGATTTTTATCATTATTTGTAAAATTATCTCTTGCTATTGGTTGTTCATATTTAATGGTACAACGAGATTCTTATCAGATATTTGATCGTTCACCAATATCAGCTGTAATAATTAAAGTAAAACAACCGTCATATTGTTCAAATAATTCTATTGAAATACTTCATTTGTTCAATTATACTTGTTCAAAAACTTTATTTGATGTCAATGATTTTATTGTACCGGCAACAGAAAATTCTGCTGTATCAATAACAACACGAATTGTCGATATTGAACATATATTAGAACGTTGTGATAATACAATACTTAACCATACTTCCGAATATTCATCAAAACATCAATGTCATCATCGATCACGTTGTATTTTACCACCATTTTATCGTCATGAACCTGATAATAAAAAACTATTTAAAAAAAACTATGGATTATGTTGGTTTAAATCACCAACACGTACAAGATTTAATTATGAAGCACTCGATTACACAATATTTATAAAACATTTTGTTGAATTTCCTCAATTAGATCTTATTCGACATAATCTTTTATCTGATCGTATCACAAAAGATTATTTAGATACATGTGAATATGATCCAAATGATCATCCATTATGTCCAAAATTTCGTATTTTAAAAATCTTACAAATGGTTGAAAGTAATTCAAGTGAATATGAATTCATGTTTTATTATGGTTCATTAATCGAAATAAAAATTAGTTGGAAATGTGATCTTGATCGACCTATGAAATATTGTGAACCTATTTATGAATTTGTACGTTTAGATGTTAAACCCTATGAAGAAAATCCATATCATCCAGGTTCAACATTTCTTGTATCTCGACATTTTTTTGAACCAAATACTAGTCAACTTCATCGTTTACATACGCATATTTATAATTTACATATTGTCGTTTCTGTTACCGGTGAAGCAGGTAGATTTGATTTATTTCAAACAACAACAAGTATCGGTTCATTTCTTGGAATATTTGGTACAGGAGCAATTGTTTGCGATCTTTTCGCTACATTTGTTACTAATTTTAAACGAGTCAGATACGAGCGATAATTATTCAAAAAAAAACGTTTCCAATCTTATTTAGAAAAGTTGATTATTTTTAATTTTCTTATAACAAAAAAAACAGATTTTTATAGTTTATTATGATCTGCAATTGTACTATTGTTTATTTAAATAAAATTTAAATTTAATATACTAAACAAAACTTTCTATATGATTCATATTCTATTCCAGGGTTTATATGTATAGAAAATTCAACGTGTGTGACTTATTTTTATCCGTTCATTATATGTCGATATATATATATAGTAAAAGTTAAAATTCGATTTTTCTTTGCAATGAAATATTCTATTCACACATCGTACACATCTTTATCGAGAATTAAACATGGGTTGTAGACATTCATTATCACCACCAAGTTCACCAAAGAAAACCGTTAAAAATAATGGACCAATTGAATTAAAAAAGAAAATATTTTTTCAACATGCAGAAAAATTTTCTCATCAAAAATTTAATAGTATTAAAACATCGTTTTCTGTTAAAACATTTTCAGCATTAAATATTGAAGAAATACTTGATGGTCATGGTAAAAATTTACTAAAAAAATTTGAATTTACTTCAACTTGTCTTTTATTTGATGTATCATTAACACATATACTTTTACTTAATAATAGAGAACTTCATTTAATTAATATAAATACAATGAATATTGAAACATATACTTTACCAAGTGATTATATGGATATTCAAGATATAGTTTGGTCATCACAATTAAATGTTTTTCTTATACTTACAACTGATCAATTGTATGAAACCGATGTTGATCAAATTAAATTAAAAGCTATTCATCAAATTCAGGTTAGGATTTATCATTTTAAAAGTATGTCAGACTTTTATTCGAATAAAATTAAGTTTTGATCTACGATATAGGAAATTTTAGCGATATCTATACGTATGAGAATCTTCACAATAAACCTATCGTGCAAAATTTATGTTATAAATATATATGACATCTCTCTGTAGTTTTTCTAGGCGTATCAGATTATCTCTGATAGTAAGACGACTAAATGGATCTTTGGGTTAAGTATATCTTTTAGTCAGCTGTGGAATTAATTGATTTTGAAAGTATCCATATTGCTTCGTTGCGAATACGTAAGACGGAGTAGAAGAAATGATGGTTATATGAGTAAAAGTTCACCTCGTATATATTTGATAAATCTATTGAGGAAACTAAAAATTTACTTGATATGAAATCAGGTTAGATTTAACAGAATTTTTAAATCCATCCGAAAAATCTTAAATATAGCAGATACTACCGTTTAAAAGTCTCTACTTCTATCGTATAGAAATTATTACCAGTAATATAGTCGATATACAGAGTGATTCATAAGTGATCCAATCGTTTTTTATTAGGAATAAATCTTAATATAGGAGCAAGAAAGAAAGTTGTGGCTCTCACCGTTGACAAAAGACGATACAGATCTATTGCATCGTATATTCTAGAATTATCTGATTTGATTTTTTCAGGGTATACCGATCGATGTTTTTGTAAGACAATGACTTTTTCAATAATCAGATGTACATTACAACCGATAACCCTAGAACTACCAACCAGGGTCCAAATGGAACCTGTTTTTTAAAAGCAAGAAAATACTATGAAATCTATTTTTTATGGATGAAAGTATGAAAACATTGTCAATGACATAGTTATTTTTGATTAACCGATACGTAGAAACAACTCGCTTTCAATCAGATACTTGTTTAAAAAGAAAAAATATCCTTCTCGAAATGCATTCTATTTTTTATCGCTAAAAATCGGCTTGGGAGTATTAGGGTTAAAAAAACTATGCAAGGCTCAGACTTCTATATATAAACTTATAATTATAAAACACTTTTCGAAAAAATTACTATTTCTTTTTTTCTCTAGTTTATTAATGAAGGTTATCGTAAATCGTATATGGCTGTAAATGGAAATGATTTAATTATAAATCGTTCATTTGGATATGATCTCAATCGTTATTCACTTTCAAATTTTGATCGTATTCAATCACTTGATGTATATAAAGAAAATAAAAACATATGTGTAACTACAATGCGATTAAATTCAAATAAAATCTTAGCTCTTTCAATATCAATAAATGATAAACAAATGATTGATTTAGTTAATTTGAAAACAAATGCATTAATTCATCGAATCAAATTTGATTTAAATGAGAATATTTCATATCCAATTGATTTACATTTTAATGGATTATGGTTTGCTAAAACATCTATACCTTATGTAAATATTGGCCATTGTTTAATAACATCGGATGGACAAATAATTCGTTTAAAACTTTTTTCCAATCAAGATAATTTTATACGTTCATTACGAATAAGTTATGATAAAAAATGGTTATTGATTGGTAGACAATATGCATTAGAACTTTATTCATTTATAAAATAGTTTTTTGTTATCTTAGTTTATTTATAGATATTATATTTGTTTTGATTTATTAGTTTCGTTTTTCTTTCTGCATTTATAATGTAAGAAGAAAAACATGAGAAAAAGAAAAGTTTTGAAGAGAAAAAAAATAAAAGAAAAAAATAAGGTATTTTAATAATCTTAAATAGTTTTATTTAATAATTAATATAACAATTCGGAAAAAAAAGAAATTTTTCCATGTATTAATAAATGTAGGGAAACTATCCAAATAGGTTGGGTATTATCATGCAAGAATAGGAAATTTCACGGCAATTATCAGCATAATGTTGGAATTTGCCAAAAATATTTTTTGTTTTTCTTCATAGTGCTTGACAATCACTGGGAAATGTTTATAGGAGATAAGCGTTATCAGTGGAATGCTACCGAGTAACAATATGACTACTGTAACGTTGCTAAACTAGGAATGTGCAATAGAATTAATATGAAGAACTAAATTTCTAATTTCTGATGTTTTTTTGACCTTCTGCTTTTTTGTTTGTCAACTTTTTAAAAATAACTGTATTTCATACTGATTCAACCCGACATCTTAATAAAAAGAGAAAAGAATAAAAATTCAACCATTTTCTTTCTTTTTCTTTTATCGGCATATTATTCCTTCAGTATAACACGTGTTGTCACATCTATTTACGAATATTATCATGCATCCAATTCGAGCTATTAAAGAAAAAATTGGTTCAGCAGTAGAAGATATTGCAGTTACAGCACCACAAATAGTTAAAGATGCTGTAGTAGCAAGTGGTGATAAAATTAAAGATTTTAATGCGAAAGTCCTTGAGCCTGAAGAACAAAAACTGGCTGATGACCATGGTTACACTCATGGTGGTAAAAGAGAAAAAATTGCTAAACATTTAACAGGTATAAGTAAGTATGAAGCTGGTGCACATTTCATCGGTGATCATGTTGTTAATCCAATGCGTCCACATCACGATAAAGATGATTTACCACCACAACCACCACCACCATCAGCAACTTAAACCATGAAAAAGTTTGGTACGAATAAAGACTTGATTTTTTTTCTTCAGATTGCTATAATGATGTATATATAAATATTTATATTATTTATCCAAGCTGTGCATTAAAAGCCAGATGTTCCTTTGAAAATGCATGTAATAAATATTTATTACTTCTATGATATTTTACAAATAACCATCTGTCGATCGATTAATAAGATGACTAATGTATGACGCTGAACGAAAAAAAAATTAGTTACTTCCTTTTTTTATCGAATGAAATATGTAGAGTATTTGAAAGTCAAAATGACTCTACACGAATATGCGTGATTTTCTATACTTAGAAATCTTATGTAACCGATACGAATCATCTTTAACGGATAAGATTTTCTATTATTTGATCATGTATTCTAAAAGAAGTAAGATATGATTTAACTTGTCGTTTATTTACATTTCTAGCAAGATGAAGTCTTGTATTTTAGACTTACATTCCTAAATCTGCTCGAAATATAAATTATACTTTTTATTTGAACAATAGAAATAATAAAAAAATAATTTCTTTATAAAAAATAAAATATTATCATAAACTGGCATCAAGGTAAATGGGATTTTTTCGTACAAATGGCTGTATCTCACATCTCATTCGTTTACTTTCGAATTGTCTGTTTTCCTTGACAATGTCGTTAGATTAGATTCCGTTGTACGAGATTTCTGAACTTCGGCTTGAATCATACGCTCTTGCATCGTGATAGGTATTCCTGGATTGAGACTAATTTTATAAGGTATACAGTTCTTTGGTAGTGAGTCAAAATCAACTAGACATCGAATAAACATACAATCATCATGTACATAAGAATTATTTTCTGCTTGAAATTTGGATAATGGAAAAAATTTCGTTAAACCTGAAGCTATGTTCATATTAGACTTAGGCCGATCGAAACTATTTGATTTACTATCTGGACGAAATGCATCAATAATATGAGATTGATTATCTACTAAATTGTATAAACAAAAAGTTACTTTATACTTAAATGGCCATAATAAAATGGCATCATAATCTCCTCGCATCAAGACAAAAAATAATGACAAATGCGTTCCTTTTGCATTACCATCTCCATTCAGATATAATCTCATACACATCTTATAACCTGTTGACGAGGAATAAAAAGCTGGAGAATAGATACTTGTTTGTTCACCACTAATAGCCTTTGCTACTTTTTCAGCGATATTTGTAATTTTCCAAATGTAAGATCCATTGTTTGACATCGTATTTGATACATCTGATAATGTCTGTTTGATTGTATTTATTTCGGTCTGTATCATATTGCAATTCATTTGAGTAGCATCAAGTATTTGAGAATTTTCATAAGATGATTGTTGTAATTGTTTTACTTCCTTTTGTTGTTCAAGAATATTATTATGAATTTGTATAATATTAGTTTGTATTTGTACATTATCATCGTGTAAACATGAAACGCCTTCAGTAAGAATATCTACTGCACTTGATATTTTAGAATATTCATCCTTTGTTACAGCGGATTCAATATGCTGATTATATGGTATACTATGCATCTGTCTTATATACATATCTATTACTTTTATAAGTGTTTCTTGATGAATTTGAGTGGAATAATGTTCAAGTAAATTTTCGTAGGGCAACTCAGAAGTACAACCAAACTTAGCAATAGGACATGCTATCATTCTATTCGTTGTGGCACATCTCTGTTTACTACAAGTATCTTCAAAATCATCCTAAAAAAAGTATATATTAGCAAATGGATAAATATGAGTATTAGTATATTTTATATCTAATGCGAAACATCGAGAATTAAAACGTTTTTTTCACGAATTTTCAATAAAATATTCATGGTAATTATATAGTAATCATATGCTTTTGCAAAGTTCATGAAATCAGAACTATGTATTATGTTGAAAAGATATTATTCCACATTTTATTCATGATATTTCGTATATAATGTATAAATAAAATCATGGACGAAGTGAAGTGTACATCCGTTTAAGAATAGGAAGAGGATTGGTTAGTGTCCAATAGAACTAGTAGGATTTTCTCTGCTCCTAGAAGACATTTTTTGCACACTGAACTTTTTCTCACTATAAATTTCGTGTGCCTCTTAGGTGTAAACTAATAATCTGAGTATACTGTTAATATCTAATATTCGATTGTAAAATATAATACTGCTGTATGCTGGCATCTACTAAAAACATTTTCATCTTACTAGTCACTCTCTTGTATTTTAATTTGTGGGAAGTGTTTGTTAGGAAAGTAAGCAATAGTTATGTACATACCTGATCGTTACTATCAGAACTTTGACGTTTGTACGATGCTTGTCGAGATAAACTTGGGTTAAATGTTGTGGAATCATTCGTATCTGATTTACAAGTATTCGAATCATGGCAGGCACTAACCATGATTGTAATATTCTTTCAGTTTTCAAGTAAAAAATGTGTACTTCTTTCATTATTTATATATTAAGTATAACTGATTCTTTGTTGGGAACTATTTATCGTAGAAATTAATCCACTGACGGACGTAATATGAGTCAAGGAAAATAAAGATGGGAACAATGTCACGTATTCACCCACTTATTTGTAGAAAAAACCAACTTACAATCAACACCATCTACCAATGTAAATATTACTTCGTCACTTCTAATCGCAAGTGACATATGTTACTCAACCTTTTCGATTTTTTCCAACATATTTTTACCAGTTTTCACAGGGAAGTAGGAAAGCATGAAATTATAAAGGAAGTGTTGCGTCATTTCCTAATATATTATTAATCATTGTATTTTAACTAATTTTTTCAAATAAACCAATATTTTTTTTTAACTTAGTTCATCGATTATTTTAAATGCTTGAAATCTTAAATGTTTTATATAGACTAAAATATATTGTGTATATGATTGATGAATATTATTAATATGTGTTATAAATCAATAGAATCAGTTTAATTAAATGAGATTAACATAAATCAAAAGCATTTTTTCTGTTCGAGTTTATTTAACTTTTGGACTTACAATACTATTTATTCTAGGCTTATTTATTCGATTACGATAAAACATTGTCTGATGAATGATCATTGATAAACGAATATTTTTTGACCTTTCATTTTGACTATCAAATATTATCGATAATGTTTACATATGATATAATCTAATCAAAACAACTTCATGTTGTCTTCTGCCTAAAGATGTTTTCATATATACATGTTAAAAATAATGGCTATCAAACAGTTGTTCAAACTCAAGTATATATATATAGCAGAATGGTGACGCCTACTTTTCATTATAATATCTTTATTCTTTAACACCTGCAGTAAAGAATGAATGCCAGATTAATTTCATTGTAAAAATATAAAATATCAATGTATTCTTTCATGTCTTCAGGAAGTAACATGTACATATATGTATAGACATTGATATTATTATTGAAATAGTATTTCCTATATACATCATGTACTGTATGTCTAGTGTATAGAAGAGACACAAAAGTATAAAAGAAATATTCAAATTGATTGAACAAACATACATTTTGATTAAATGAGAAAAGAAAAGAAAAATACTATAAATGAATTCTATGTTGGGCACCAGACAATAAGTCGATCACGTTATGCAAATATTATTTCGACGACGGCTGCTACTAGTAGTCATCATAGATGTTGATGGTATGGATCATTTATTAGATTAGCACTTCACATTGTTCAAGACAATATCTCTGATGACAAGTCTTTTGAGATTTACACTTAAAGAATAATTGCCATTCTTTATTTAGTCAAAAAAAAAGAATGTCTATGTTATATGCTATAGTGAATGACATCAATCAAGATTTCTTAGGTCACTTTTTTTTTCTTCATAATTTAATTTTGATGTACTAGACAAATTAAACTTCCTATATGTCTGTCTATTGATTAACGATTCTGTCCAAGAATACCATATATGAACTTTGTTTCCTTGCATTCAAATTGTCAATTATATTGATGAGAAGGAAGATTATCTTTTATTTCTTTTTCTAAACAAAAAATAATAATGATCGAATCAAATGCAGAGATTTATCGGCATGTCGCATGCTAAATTAGAGAGTCGGTAAACGTATTCTTGTTCTTAAAAATATTTTTTTTTTTCTATAATCTAGCATTCATCACATCAAAGTAACTAATTGAGAGAGAAGCAATTATATATCCGACAATCAGAAAATTGTACAACATTCTACTACTACTACGACACTACTGATCGAAAACGGACACATGTTAAATTTGATTAGTTTAGACAAATGATAATTGTTCAGTATTGATTCGAACTTCCTTTTCTATTTCGAATAATATTGATTTCTTCAAGCGAATCGAGATCACTAATACCATATGTCTTCCAGCTAGGATCAAACATTTCTAAAGATAGCTAATTGTATCTGTTGACCAATGATGTATATGTATAGAGAGAGAGAAAGGAAGAGAGAGAGAGAGAGAAAAAAATCTCAACAATTTGTATTGTCTTTTAGACATGCATAGTTTTTTTTTTAAATAAATAGATAGATAGCACGAACTGTAGTACAACACCTGCCTGTTAATCTTTTTCTTCAAAAAAAAAAAGTAAGGAAAGAGGTGGAGAAGAAGGCAAGTTCATTGATTGTCAAGGTGAGTTCACTTAATACTTCTTTTTCTTTTTTTTACACACACCTACTGTGATTAGTATTATGGTGATGAAAAAAAAAAGAACATGCCGTTTTCTCTTTTTCGTATGTCAATACTACTTTTTTTCTCTGCTATACATATATACACAAACGCTAATCTCATGATGTGGACATACATAGTCCGTTCGTTTTATACATCGTATGATTTGATCAATAATTCATTATTCGAGCACTTAGATACACATTGCTTCGATGATCTCTATCCTATATATATATATATATGTATGCATGCGATTCAACTATTGTTCAATAGATCGATTCACTATTGAACATATGTCGTACTCGTTTGGTTAATACAGGTAGAACATCATGGACATATTTCCCTTTCAGATTGTTTTTTGCTGTCCATAATTATAAATACATCATCTCAAAAAAGTTAATTGTTAATGCATGTATGTAATTGCTTTTAACCACGCTAACAGTCTTAAACACCTGACTTCATTTATTTCATATACATATGAAGCTTTTCAATGAATGAATAAATAAACTCGTTTTTTTCTTCTTCTCTTTTCATTACAAGTGATATCCTTGATTTATTTTAAGGCGTTACTGTACTCTGAATATAACTCATATATATATAGAAGTTTACGCAATATATCAAATGAACTTACATTATAATGGCAGGAAAAGGAACAAAAATCAAAAAGGAAATGTATTCAAAAAAAAAAAGAATGACTGTCCATTCGTTGTCTTACTTTCTCTTTTCTTTTCATTCCTCTACTTCTTATACTACGAACAATTACGCTTGGATACTCTCTTATCGAATGTGTGAAGGCAAAAGCTTGTCATTTTTTTCTTCTTCTTCTTCTTTTTTTTCTATACATATAAACGACGGTAAAGATCTCATAGTTAATAACAGTGTACGACTTCTAAAAATGCATTCAAACGTATAAATCTCTGATTGAATGGACACATTTTCTTTTCTTTTATATTCAGATTAAATATTTCATTAGAATCTAGTTGGCTATGTACTTCTCTATATTGTTACTAAATCTAGGTAAGTCCGATAGATACTTTAATTAAGAAGATTTATTTATTACTTTTTTTCTTCAACAGTTCTTTTTCAAGTTTATGGTGAATTAGTTATTAAACCAAGTGAAGCTTCTTTAACAAGAGATCAATATAAATCATTCATTGCTCTATGTACGGGTCAATCGGATGACCAAATTATTGCATGGCGATCACCACAACAAAAAGAAATATCTGAACATGATAATGATCGGTAGAAAAAAGAACTCATAAAAGCAGAAGAATTTAAAAGATTATTTTCTTTAGTATTACTGCGGAAAGACAAACGAATGGAATACGATTAAGAATTCGAAATTTAACAACTGAGGATCAAGGTATTATAGATAAAGAAAATTAAGTATAACTATTATCTTATTACATCTAGGTACATGGGAATGTATTGGTACACATATGAATGGTCAACGAATAAAAAAATCATTTCAAATGATTATTAAAGGTTTATAATCTTCTATAAAAATATTAATAATTCGAAGAAGTGTGTTTTTTTCCTTAGTTCCAATTACTTTCAATGCTGAATCAGTTCAATATGTAGCACTCGGACAACCTACTGTTATTAAATGTACTGTTCAAGCGAGTCCAGTAGCAGAAGTATCCTGGTTTAAAGGTCAAGATAAACTTCGAATAGGTTTGTTCTTAGGATATAACGATCTTTTTTGAGTGATTTTTATTTGATAGAAACTCCTAAATATGAAGTTCTTAATAATGGTTTACGTATAAATCGTATTGAAATGTTAGATAATGATACATTCTGGTGTCGTGCTGATGTTCTTGAAACAGGCGAATCACGAGATTTTCCAATTCATGTTATTGTTTCAAGTATGTTCTGAAATAATTTCCCAAAGAAATATTTAAAACTCGTTTTTGTCATTAGAATCAATTAATCAAACACATATTACTTGTGCTAATCCATGTGCTATTGAAAAGAAAACAGCAACATTAATTTGTGATGCATATGGTTTACCAGCACCGAAATATTTATGGTTCTATGGATCGGTATGTTTTATTTTCGTAGACTAAAAACCAAAGAAATACACATATATAAATCTCTAGGCAGAAAAGTTAAGAGAAGTTAAAGTAAGGAGAAAGTTAGCATGTTGATTTCTCTGAGTATTTGTGATATGCATGAATATATGTGTTTTTGTTTGTTCAGATCAATGTCTTGACTATTGCGGTAAATTCGTGTGCTTTAATATTTTTCAAAACTAATATTTTAAGATTTTCTCTAATGAATACATATTAAGTTGAGTTCTAATAACTTCAGGGAGATGAAACAAAATCGATTCCAATGAATTTAACTATGATATTGAATGATTTAATGATGGAAATTTTTCGAACTGACGGAAAATTGAGTGTGAGTGATGGAATAAAGCATTTGTATTAGTCGCATGAAACTTGCTTTATAAACGTGTGTTAATGTGTGATCTAATTGTCTTATTGCACGTGTGTTTTTTTTTGTTCATATTGCTTTTCAATTAATTTTTGAATTTTTTTTTTGAAAGAAAATTTTATTCAGACAATATACGTAATATTTAGGATAAACCTGTTAGTGCAAGTGAAGTACCAAAATTAGTTGTACGAGAAAATCAATTAACAATAAATTATGTTGATGAAACTGATAATGGTAAATATTCATGTCAAGCTTTTAATGAATTCGATAGAAAAGGACAACGAGCAGAATATCATTTACATGTTAT